CTCACAGCCAATGTGTATTTGTAAGGTGGAGCAGACTCAGGAGGTTATATCCCTGAGGTCACCTCTGAGTTAAAGACCTAGAGCCAACCCGCTTAGCCAGAACGGCCTTGAGTACACGAGGTCCTGGGGTCCCCACATTCCAGCAGGTGGTACATGATTGTAGAGGGGTGAGCTACATTTCCTGTAGGGGTTGGGAGGCCCTTGGGTCCCGCTGCCAGCAACAGAGCAGTCTCCAGGGAGGCTTTTCTCAGGGCCCGGGAGAACCTTCTGCCTCTTCCAAGGTTGCCCTCATGAGGCAGTTTTAGCCAAAACTATGAGTAGGAAGAACATGAAACGGGGAGGGGCAAGAAGGGCCAGAGTAGATAGAGATGTGAGGCTGGTCTACTGCTGGAGAGTACCTTTGGATTTTCTCATTTTAAGGGTAGAAGTGATTGGGGATGTCCTGAGGTCAAAGCCAGGAGGTATCTCATGGAGGTGAGAGGTCTGGTTTATCCCCAACCTGAGGATGGAGTGATGGTGCAGAACAGAGGGGCACAGCTGGGGGCAAGAAGGGAAAAGAAGGAAAGTGGAAAAGAGAGGCTGGGAGTCAGCCTGGGGGAGCTGGAAGAGGGTGGGAACTGGGAAGACCAGCGAGGCAGTCACAGGTGCAGCCTAATGGATGGGGTCCCAGGTGGTGCAGAAGCACTCGAATCAAGCAGAAGCCCCAAGATACTGCTGTCCCCTGCCCCTAGGACCAACTAACAAGCTCACAAATTGTGCACTCTCTGCTCTTTGGTCGAGAACGCAGACTACACGGCAGTATCCTCCTTAAAACCCCCGTTTTGCCTGATTCATAAGACTGATAAACTTGAACTTCATAATCAGGTGTCCTTCATACCACCATGGGGCTCAGCTGACAGATGAGTGATGGAAATTCCCCAGAGAGGCCTGGAGAGTGGGGTGCTTAGGTTTAGGCTGCCAGAGACAGATTTCTTCCAGAGGAAGAAAATGGAATGGGTCAGGGGCCAGGGATTTGGCTCAGTTGTTCCGCCACCTGCCTCACAAGCAAAAGGGCCCAAGTTCAATCCCTGTATCATTAAAAAAAAAAAAAAAGGAATGGGCTGGAACCTGCAATGTGCAGAATTCTTTTGGGACCCAGAAAGAACCTTCCCTAGCAGATGCCATAGAATTCATAGAATTCATGCATAGAATTCGCTAGCACTGTTCAAGGAAATCAGTTGTCATTTTTCTGAACATGATGTCATAGTCTTATTTCCTTAAAAAACTATGATCCAAAACTGAAAAATAGAAAACAAAAGGGAAACCCAGCCCTGGAAATTCCCACAGATTGTCTTCCTCAGACCCTTTGGGGGGACTTACCAGACAGTGCCAGGGAATCTTCTTTGAGAATAGCCCTAGACAGACCAGTGCCTAGCATGGCTTTAGTACTCTGTGTGGTTGGCTGCCTTTCCTGACCATTAATCACTACTAAGTGTCATTATTGCTAATAAAGTTAACCGACTTTATACTGAGCCATCAATCTCAGGGTCTGTTACATGAAATTTTAAATCAGGTACCTGTCATGAGTGGAAGGTTTTTTTGTTTTTTTTTAACTGAGCCTGGCTTACAAGTGCAGCCTAGGGAACTGTGGTCTCTGTAGTCTGCAAAGGGTTATAAGCAAGGACAGGGACCTCAGTTCAAGAAACCAACTACCAGCCCTTGCTGTGCAGTAGGCAGTTGTCTCAGGCAAGAACACAGCTAGAACTCAGGAGAATTCTAGGACCACTGCTCTAAACGTTTCCCAAATTCTACCTCCCATTCTCACCTCTGCCTCTCTCAACACATTTGATTCAATCCTTTCCTCTCTCTTTGGATCGGCTTCTTCTGTTTATCTTCTGTGTTGCAAGTCCAGCCACTCCAACTAAACAAGGGAGAGAAAGCAACTGCGTGCTCTCTTAATTCAAATGCTAAATTTCCAGAGAAAAGATTGAGTGGCTGCGTTCAGGTCATGTGATCATTATCGATCCATTCGACAGACTAGAGCAGCTACTCATGTGTTGTAAAATGGCCCACAGAGACCACATGATAGTCACAAAAATAGAGGAAACGGGTAGGCAGCAACAGTAATTTAAAGGGCTCAGAAATAGGCACAGAAAAAGTGGTGGATATACACATATATATCATAACACATAATAAATATATGATGTTATATAATATGAGATGAATATTTCTATACTGATAGACTAATTATAGCTATCATTTTTTATTTTATATGGAAAAAACCCAGAGAAATCACCTGCTGGGTTTTGTTTGTTTGTTTGTTTTTATTTTTGTTTTGTTTGATTTCTTTTTTCTTTCTTTTTTTTTGACATAAGGTCTCACTGTGTAGTCCAGGTTGGCCTTGATCTCACTATGTAGCCCAGCTGGCCTCAAACTCATGGCAATCCTCCCGCCTCAGCCTTCTGAGTACTGGAGCTATTATTCTTGAAATGGCATTTGAGACAGGCCTTGAAGCCTCGAAGGATGCTCAGTCCCACAGGCTAAATTTCCCATCACTCCCTGGTTGTTTCCTGTTTTTGTCAATCAACTTTTATAAGTAAGGTTTTGATTTCCTAAAACACAAAAATTAATTGTATGAGCAAAGTTGCCCCTCACACCAGCCCCTAGTGTGGGGAGGACACTTGAATGGGCCACATGGCTGCTGTCCTCTGCTCCTGATCCCTGAGCTGCCCTCCAGTCTGGACACCAGTTAAGGTAGGGCCTTCTCAACTGGAGCTGACCTCAGGTTCTGCTCCAGACTCACCAAGGGTCAAGCTCTGAGGGTTTTCTGCCAGGCTGCAGGGAGGGGTTTGGGTGTAGGCTTGGTGGACTGGAAATTTACCCATTTGCCCCCAGATTAATGATTAACCGGCCCCTGCCCTCACCCTGTCTAGCAGGGGAGCCCAGGGCCAGGCTGGGCCAGGAGGAGCCTGATAGCATCTGTCTCTGTTTGGAGGTTTTGGAGATATGCTCCACACTGGGTTGGCTGCACCTGATGGATTTGGAATCTACAGGGGCACCTGGGGCCCAGCCAGGACCCACACCCTCCAGTGAGGCTTCCTACTCTGCCAGACAGAGGATGTGGCATCCAGCCAAATGTCTTGGCAGGTGACTCCAAACAGAAGAGTAGTGTACTTGGCTCAGTTGGAAAGCCCTCTGGTAGCTCCGGGCTTACTCTGGCCAATAGCATATAAGCAGATATGGCAAGTGCCACACCTAAGCAGGAGCATTAGGAGCTGTTGTCTGGTTCCACCTTCGCTCTTTATCCTGGCTGTGAGACTGGCATATCGCAGAAAGGGGCTGCTTCCTTCAGCCTGCATCCTGGAATGGTATATGTTCCGTCCACACTGGGAGGCACCAGGGCAGGAGACAGCAAATGTCTCTAACTATGCTGCTTGTCACAGAGAGCTTCTGGGAGGAGAGAGAGGGCCCTGATTCAAGAGCCCACCCTATTTTTGGTTGTACCTGCACCCGTTGCTGCCCCCTCATAAAATCTCTGTGTCCTCTCTGGAAAAAGAGAGATTCTGCCTAACTAACTACAGAGGAAGGCATCTTGCAAGAGGAGAAAGGTTTGGGAAACTCCGGCTAGCAGGAAGCAAGCCAGCATGTCCTGGGTGCTGTGGTTTTTTTACCTTTCCTGTCATCATCATAGCAACCCTGAGAGGTAGGGTGGGTCGTTCTCTATACTTCACAGAGGAGAAAAGCCAGACTTCAAGGTTGTTCAGTTAGGAAGCAGTAGAGTGAGGCTCAGAATTTGCCATTCTGAGTCTGGAATCGATAGACTTTGGATATAGAACAAGAAAACTGGGTTTCACCTTCATCCTTTCTTCCGTCTTCCCTCCTACCCTCTTTTCCCCACCTGCTTCCTTCCCTTCCTTTTTTCTTCCTTTTCATTCTTCAAGCATCTATTTGTTCCAGCACCAAAGGGCCAGATGGCTGGAAATCTATCTGGGATTCAGAAAACAAGCTCAGTTGGCATGGGATTACTCGGACAGCAATATAATGCAAGGGAGAGAAGGCCATGGGAGCCCTTGGCTAGGTGTTTGCTCGGAGTCTACATCCCTTGTGCCTACCCTGTCTTAGGAAGGTTGCTGTCGTAGGAAACAACCAATACTCTGCCATGTTTCCTAAACTTCTTGAATTATAGCAGCTATCTAGGCAGATATACAGGTTCTCAGACCCTTTTCAGATCAATGGAATCCAAATTGCCAAGTGTGGACCCCGGGAATCTGTATTTTTATTAAGCATTCTGATTTTTTTTTTTTTTTTTTTTTTTTTTTTTTTTTTTTTTTTGGTTTTCTTTTCT